CATGATTGCTTAAAAAAATTCTCACATCAGAATGCCGGAAGCAGAAATATGAAATAAAACAATGGATAAAATGAATATAAGTAATAGTCCACAGACATTTGTGCCAGTCAACTACGATACTTTTTTCAAAATGTACGTATTTAAAATCTTCAGCCTGCCATGACATTTCTAGTCGATGGCGTCTTGTGTCAGCCAGAAGAAGAAAAAAACCCACCCAACTGAAAATATTCTTGCAAATATTTTGGTGCACGATCTTACAAAAGTGGACAGTCACGGTTCAAGAAAAATGCAAAAGGTTTTCTGATTTATAAACTAACTTGAAAAGTCAGTCATCTGGCCTTGAAGACCTTAGAAAACAGCTGAATAATTTCGCAATAACTTTAGGTGATGATAATCCGGATGAAATTAATCGATTCCAGATCAAATAAAAAATAAGTAGGTACTCTTGGTTATGCAACTTTGATTGCTGATCAAATTAAATGGAAGATAATCATCTCAGGCACTGGACTCCGAGACAGCCTGAGATACTTTTTTATTAATAAAAAATAGAACCAAAAAAACTGGAACGGCAGAAAAAAATTTAGAATTTCTTCCATTACGTATCCGGAAAAGTGTATCGTGTGCTTTAATCTGAGTTTTTTTTATTATTCTGAGTGCAACGTCGTGGAAATAATGCATACTCGCAAAAAACTATATATCTAGAGGAAATTGTGTATTTTTCGACCCACACTGAGAGATTACTTCGATACGATCCGTTTTTTTTTAAATCTACNAGCAGTAGAAAAAATCAAGAATGTACACTTTTTGGAAACCACAGCCCTTTTTTGTTAATAAGGATGCAATCATTCTTTTCATTTCCTTCTTCCGAAAACGGGTTTCAGTTCCAAGAACCTCAAAATACATTTATTGTTTCCTGTGCTCCAAAGACTTGTAAATACATTGCTTAACCATGGTATCCAACTGAGCTTCTTTCAAACAATATGGATATCTTGAAATCAAATTGCATAACCTCCAACCTATGAAAGTGTTCACAACCCTCAGCTAAATCTTAGAAAATTCTAAGTCAGGAATACATCATCCCAAATCCAACTTCTGATGCTGTTTTTGTTTAGCTGAAGTGCGAATCTTCGAAATAACATTGAAAATTGCCGATTAGGTGCTTACAATATTTCAGTAATTCTAAATTACTTTTCAAACTTTGAGTAAGGAAGTTCTAAACCAGTCCCAGCTATGTATTCATACTTACTTATACTTCATACTTATTCATACTTGCCATACTGCATTCATATTTTTGTTTCATTGTTAAATGTTTCATTTAAGTGCTTTCTTAGTCCTCAAACCCCAGAAAACGTTTTTTCAACATTTTATTCAGGAATTAACTCAAATTAGACTTTCTCTCATAATTTTCACTCAAAGCAGTTGATTCTTTTCCACGAACAAGTTGAGCATAAGTTGAGTTTGAGTCTTGAATCTGAACCTCATGTGGACTTTCTGGAATTATACGATGTACAGTACTAGTATATAATCATATAGTCAATACTCTTTTCACTAGGAGACAATTTGTGCAAAGGAAAGCTTCCAACAACGGCTCACAATTACAGCATTTCTCTTGATGCTTCCTTTTCTTTTTTGTCTCGTTTTTGGCGGTCTTGGTTGTTGGTAACACCCAGTATCTGCGGGCAACTGCTTAAACGTCGACTGAGAGAGGAGTTAAAAGAGCGACGAAAAGCTCAGCTCTCCCTTGGGCTTATTTTCCGTCCCTTCTTTTTCCCTGTCGTCGACTGGTTTTCCGCTGTCACTACGATGACGAAGTCGACAACATCGAGCAGAGAAGACAGCTGACGCGCCTGACGAGTCAAGTCGAATTCAAATCCTGGGCAGGAAACGGTTGTTCCTTTTCCGCTCTCGCTGCTTCAGAACTGTTCTTCCCTATTTCCCTTTTTTTTTTGTTGGAGGGATGGGTCTCTCGATTTATAGGCAAAGAGTCTTGCACAGTGGGATATACAATATCTATATATATAGATTTTGTCTACAGCGAGCGATTTTCTCCGTTCGAAGCATATTTTCTGGTCCCATAAGGTTCTAATAACCCCATGTTTTAGGGGTTCTTTGAATGAAATTTAATCTACTTAATTTTGTCGTCTAGTCCATTGAATTTTGTTGTATATCGAGAGAGTCCACCGGTACTTCATAAAAATTGCAATAAAGAAGCTATATTCTGTGTTATATTCTCCAGTTGAATAATTTTCTATTCTTACAGTCCTTTGTAATCCTGAATTTCAGAGCGGAATGTGAAATCTGGGGTAATCGTCGTATTGTGTAACCGTTATTGTGAATTTCTTGACAAGTTTGAAACAAATTTTCAGAGATAAATTCCGGGACATAAGTCAAGATTAAAATGCATGTCCTTAAAATACAGTTCTAGAGCCCATGTATGGCCAAATTTTGGTTTGGCTAACAATTTTTGACAAGGGTTGAATTAAAAAATAAAACACAGATTCAATCGTGGGGTTACGATCTGCATTTTTTTCCAGAATAGGCAAGATTAACGTTTGTAGTCTTGATAAGAATTTATAGAGGAAATTAATTTCTGATTCGATTTCTTCCAAATAAATGCACAAAAAAACGGAAGAAAATAGTTCACATGTGCAATCCAATGTACATGATTGCTTCCAAAAATTCTCACATCAGAATGCCGGAAGCAGAAATACGAAGTAAAATAATTGAAAAAATGGATATAAGTAATAGTCCCCAGACATTTTTGCCAGTCAACTACGATACTTTTTTCAAAATGTACGTATTTAAAATTTTCAGCCTGCCATGACATTTCTAGTCGATGGCGTCTTGTGTCAGCCAGAAGAAAAAAAAAACCCACCCAACTGAACATATTCTTGCAAATATTTTGGTGCACGATCTTACAAAAGTGGACAGTCACGGTTCAAGAAAAATGCAAAAGGTTTTCTGATTTATAAACTAACTTGAAAAGTCAGTCATTTGGCCTTGAAGACCTTCGAAAACAGCTGAATAACTTCGCAATAATTTTAGGTGATGATAATCCGGATGCAATTAATCGATTCCAGATCAAATAAAAAATAAGTTACTACTCTGAGTTATGCACCTTTGATTGCTGATCAAATTAGATGGAAGATAATCATCTCGGGCACTGGACTCCGAGACAGCCTGAGATACTTTTTTATTAATAAAAAATAGAACCAAAAAAACTGGAACGGCAGAAAAAATTTAGAATTTCTTCCATTACGTATCCGGAAAAGTGTATCGTGTGCTTTAATCTGAGTTTTTTTTATTATTCTGAGTGCAACGTCGTGGAAATAATGCATACTCGCAAAAAACTATATATCTAGAGGAAATTGTGTATTTTTCGACCCACACTGAGAGATTACTTCGATACGATCCGTTTTTTTTTAAATCTACAAGTGTTTAAAGAAAAAGAATGCGAGTTTCCTTATATGAACCATGTTCAATAAAAATAGGGCGAGATCAAAGAGCTTCTGCACGGTCGCACTCGGGACCTCATTGAATTCCTTTCCGACCCAAGAAATGTCAGATATTGGGCTTAGAATGTAAAACTGTATCGGATTTAAAATCTTCGAAGTATTTCTATTGCTGGATGACGTATACGAATATATTCCCGTAGAGCGGTTTTTTTTCAAATCATTAAAAGGAGACAGATTATACGCGTAAGCCCTGAATATCTTCTATGGATTTCCATGCCATTCTCAATTTTACCAACGTCAGGAAAGAAATGAGGATGATCACACACTCTTGCTTTATCTCTTTCTAGTGTTATCTTTTAAATGATGGAAAAGAGCAAAACAGTGAGGAAGTCAGGATGAAAATGTTCCTAAAAACCTGTGCGATTTGAGAAAGGAACGGATTTTCAGGCGGGACGAATATGTTAGCTGCAGCAGATGGTAAAACTGTGATCGTAATCGAACATGATTCAAGTTTGGTTGATTCTGCACCAGTTTTTGTTCCAAATTAAAATCAGTATTAACGTTGTGTGGTTGCCACACATGTTGAAAGTTAAGCTTAAACTTTTTTTCTCTCCCTATATCTTCATTGTTTTTCAGAACCAAAAAATCTTTGGATGACGCACTCATATTCTACCAGGGAGTCACCTATAATGTTCTATGGGTTATATTTCAAAATAAATGTCTATAATAAAATATAATAAGTGTCTTAAGAAAGATTTACAAGTATTGCAATTCAATGAAGAGACCCTTTCTGAAATCTTAAAGGATATCCTGCCATTGGTAAAATTGAGAATGTCATTGAGTGGATTTGGGTTGAGTGGGAAGGGGGTTTGGTTGTGGAAATCTTGATTGAACCTTGTAAACGCTGAAAAGTGGCAAATAAAGTGATCTGTTCATTCATTCATTCATATAAAGTATGAATGCTGAAAAACGTCCATTTGATTTGAAAACTTTAAAATTTCGAATGCTTTTGTATGATGCATGATTTTTAATGACATGTTCCTCAAGATTTAGCCTTGAAGTCATTCTAAAATACAAGTCACTCAAATTTAATAATGAAACAATGAACTGGAAAAAATGGACAGGTACTTTTTGCGGGTCAATTTCATAACGTTTGCCTATATGCTCCTTTTCGAAAGATTATTGAATACTCCGCTTTGGCACACATTTCATACAACGATAAAATTTCTGCGAGGAGTGCATTTTTTAGAAATGAATATTTTTCGAGTGCCGGTAAACATGTTTTTCGCAAAGAGATGCCTTCCAAGATCAGCAGAAAATACATGACGACGATGAGATAAGTGCATCTTAAACCTTTTGAAAAATCAAAAAAATGCGTGAGATAAGCCTGGAGCAATTTCCATGAAATAAAGAAAGACCATTTCTCGAGGATGCATCATTGGTTTGTTTGAGAAGCAAATATTATCAAACGAGGAAGTGGAGTAAACATGTTTTCTTTTCGGAAACCGGTCGATTTCCATGATATTCTCAATTTTACGAACGTCAGGAAAGAAATGAGATTGAATAAGAGAACCGCGTTTCAAACACTCCTGCTTTATATCTTTCTAGCGTTATATTTTAAATCTTGGAAAAGAGAAAAACAGCGAGGAAGTCAGGATGAAGTCTTGCTGAAAAGTTACTCACTGACCAATTGTGGACGGTTCACGAATGAAAGTGGTGTTGTTTGCAGGCCCTTCAAAATTCCTCTGTGGACTCCAACTTTCTTACCATACAAGAACCTCGTCAGATCACCTCATCCTTTGATTTGTCGACAAAAGGTGATGAACTGGATCCAAGTTGAACCTGAAAGAATCATAATAACGAATGATTTGAAGACTTGCTCTTACTTTCATTGCAATTTTACAGGTATCCCCAGTCTATACGGAAATTATTTTAAATTATATTTACGCGGAAATTATTTTTTTTCCAGAAATTTTGCGTTTCATGGAATATTATCATGTTAAGCTGCAGGTGACGGTTTCAACTGACAATTATTACCCACGGTTTTCAGACACCATAGAAGTCGCTTGTGCTTGTCATCACACGAAGTAACATTCGAAAATACACGCATTTTAAAAATTAAATCCCAATATATCATCATTCATTTTTCCAGGTTCAACGAAACTTATCTGGTTCCCAAAGTGAACCCAGTTTCTGAATCCTGCAGAAAAGTTCCCAGTGATGAAAGAGGATATAGCTTCAATATTTTGTACCTAGTGTACGATGGGATTTCGAGAAACTTTTTCGTCAGAAATCTCCCGAAAACCTGGCAATTCATGAAGAGCAAAATGAGAGGAATTGAGTTCCATGGTCACAGTGCACTCGGTCTGAACAGTGCCCCAAATCAGATCCCTCTGTGGACTGGTATGCTTTTTTTTTTTTCGCAACAAATTTTCAATGTGATGAACATATTCTCTGTGTATATAGGATATGATTTTTTCGAATGGCTCTCATCTGGTCCAGCTCCGAACAACTTCGTGGAAGAATTACCTCCGATTCTGCTCGCAAGTGCAGCCGAAAAGAATTATGTCACCATGTTTTATGAAGACCTGCAAGCAAATTCGATGTATGACACAGTTTTCCAACGTTTCCCCATTTTGAGGAACTTCCGGCACCCACCTGCTACGTATTATTCCAGACCTTTTATGCTGAATAGAGTTGAAACCACTACCATACCACTTCCTTATTGTTATGGGCAATTATCAGCCAATCAGGTAAGTGATGGTTACTCTTTTATGCAAGGATTGGTTCATAAGTTTTGAAACTTTCTATAATAGATGCAATGGAGTTTAATGAATGGAATTTTTAAAATTTGTACAGCCCCATAATTTGGCAAATCTTTGGTGCTGTTGAACATACTCTCTGCTTATTTAAATGGATTTTTTCATGCAATAAATCCATCAACTAAAGCAGGGCCAAAAATTGAGTTGTGATGAGCACCCTAATAGTTGTCACTTTTGGCTGTTCCTCACATCAGTGAAGAATGATTTGAAAGGATTTGATTTTGAGGACAGGAACAGTCTCATTTTCTCTGCCAAAGAGCAGATGAATCAACAAGCATAAGTCAATTTACAGCATATGGTTTTTATTTTAAGACTTTCTGCATGAAAATTTCTTTTAAATTGGTGGTGTAGTATCAAATATATTTCCATCACTGACGTAATAACCCGATTTGGACACGACTCTTGTGAATTTCAAAACTTTTCATTGGAATCCCATGAATTTTCTGAACCGAAGTATTAGAACAACATATCTCAAAGTACGGACAAGTTTTATTCTTATTCATCCAAGATTTTGAGATATTTCAATTTTTGAAATGAATGTATTTTACTTGAAGAACTTATTTCAGTCGACTATACTGTGCGTGCCTTACTTGGAAGTTGAGTCACGTGTCATTTGAATAAATATAGTACCCATTATTGACAGCATGCACAGCAATATGTGAAGCACATGTGGAACCTGCATGAAGACCAACTGAAGTTCTACTACAACTTGGAGTTGACCTTTACTCATAACAGCTTGACAGGTATATCACTCGTGGATGGAGAGATTCTGGAATTCTTCAAAAGTTTTGTCAATTCACCTTCATTGAGGAACAATACTGCAGTCATCATTGCATCAGATCATGGAAATCATATCCATCCAGGGCCAGATAATCCATTATCAAGCATCGAGCAAAGCCTTCCCCTATTGTACATGCTTCTGCCAGAGTGGATGGATTCAAATTTTCCTAATGAGATGAGAAACTTGAGATTTAATGCTCAGCACAGGATGACTACGTCTTTTGACCTGCATTTCACGATCAAGCATTTACTGGATTTCCGAAAAAACACGGAATATCCTTCAGAAAAGGGTCAAAGTCTGTTTACTGAAATTTCACCTGAGAGGACTTGCCAAAGTGCTTCAATTGCAACTGGATTTTGCACTTGTTTAGTAGAGGTGCCACTGGACTCATCAAATGATGAAGTTGAAAAGCTAGGGAAGCTCTACTTAGGACTAGCATTGGATTTTGTTAGGGACAGATGTCGCATCTATGCAAAGTTCGCATTGGAATTTATAAGGCTTTTCCCTCACTTGAAATGGAAAACCCCTGTCAGTTTTGAAGTAGAGAAGTATTTTTTGCTGATTGAGTTTTGCAAAGGAAGGTCAGAATGGAGGTTTCTAAAAATTCTGCATACTAAAGGATGGATGCCTGCGAAAGGTATTTTTGAGCTCAGGTCAACATAATTTCAGCACATATATATACAGTAGAATAAATTTGATTTTATTTATTTTCAGGGACATCATCTGATGCACCTGATTTTGGTTCCCTGCCTTTCATTGAATATGTATTGAAGCTGTCAGGGTTTGAAAATCCCACGATTGGATTTGTGATAAAACTTGATGGACTCGGAATAAGACAGTTACAGGTGCTGATTCTATTCAGAAGTTTCTATAGTGCAATAACTTGTCCTTTCATATACGTAATAAATATTATTTTCTTTTTCAGGAAAAAACCATCCGGATCATGATTCACAACCAGACAGCAAGTTCCAGCTGGGAACCATGATCCCTCATATATGGCCAATTGGTTTTTATTTATTTCATGGGCATTCACAATCTTTAAATTGTACAACAGACTGAAAGATTTATAAAATGTTGTGCAAGAAGCAAAATATATTGATACCTGGAGGTCAGGTTTTGAAACAGTCTTGTTTTAATATTTTTAATAATTTCAATGGAAAAATATGCAAGGGAAAACTGAATTCCATGGTCATTTGAACATTTTTCAATCTACTGAAAAATTAACTCAGTATTTGTATACTTCGTATGCTTCACCGTTAGGAACTTATTAAGTCCCAGTGAATGACATAATTACCCTGAGACAAGTATACCACGTATCTTTTTTTTTAAAGGAAGTCAGCTTGGTTGAAAACTTGAAATACATAGGAAATACCCCAGTGCATGATTTCAAACATTGAGTCCAACCGCAGGAACCACTGATTGTCAGAAAATCCTGTGTGCAAATGGTTGCTGAATCAAATCCAAAACACTTTTCTCTCTATTCATGTGAACATTAGTGAACAATGAGTCTTCCAAGCAAGGCAAAAAAATATCGAGAATAAACTGAACATGCAGGGCTTTGACAACATTAACATATATATACTGAAGTACCCATTCGCGAGATTAAATTTTGAAATAGGGTTGTCATGGGCGATCCGGTGCATCCGAAGTCAACGATTTGTTGTCATCTCGTGTGAAACGGATGCATGCATAAGCATGAATTTCGCATGTAAATCATGCACAAAGTAATCAGGGTTCGTCCTCGATGCATTGAAATAAAGGGATAGAAAATTTTGGATCTGCAAAAAGGCAACAGACTTCAGTATTCTGATGGAAATATCCCGGTCAGCAAAGGAGCGAAAAGGTTTTTGATTCATCTGATAGTCCTGGCTGATGACTCGATCTTGATGCCTTACATTTTCGCTAGCTCATTAATACAGTAAATTAACTGAAATCAGCCACTATAAAATAAATAAAATACATTTGCAGCCTTTGTTCTTTCTTGCTGTTCAAAATGTTTGAGGATTTTCACTGCAAAAAAAACGTGCGTGATCGACGCAGCTGCATTTGATTTCGCATCAAAATACGGTATCCAAGATTAAATTGGCCCTTCGGTCTTGGCCTCACATCAGGAAATTGTGTCTCCTTTTGTTTCTTTAATTCTTTTTCTTGGCGGGGTGCAGATAACCCTTTGACATGTTGGCTTTTGAAGTTGGTTCTATCGAAAGATAATTCTCACATTTACAATTTTTTGGAGAAACGTGCATGCATAAGAAGAGTACAGTGGGCCCATAAAACAACAAACTCCTTAAGCAACGAACATCTTACATGACAATCCCGGGTTTATATAGCCACCATTTTGACTCACACAGTAAACTTTACTGGAGGAACAAAACTTAAGTCGAGAGAAAAGTTGCAAAAAATTCTTTGAAAAATTTCCCCTTCGAACATTTTACAAATGGAAAAGATTTCATATTTTCTGAAAAAATATTTAAAAATGGGAAACCAAAATCGGAATGAAAATGCAATGGAAACGAAAATTAAAATCATGAGGGAATTTCAAAAAATCCTTCGTGGTACTGCTTATAAACATTTTCTTCGTATTCTGGTCTGTTTTAGAATTCTTCAAGCTCATATTTCATTGATTTCACCTCGATAGTTTTTTCAAACTCTGGAACCAATCAAATAAAATTCCCACAGGTTACTATGTGAAATTGTTGCTCATATGAAGAACGCTTTGAACAATGAACAAAGCATGAAAAATGAATAGGGTTGTTGCGCGAGGCCACATCTTACTGCTGTGACTTGTTACTTATGAGCACACAAAATATCAAGATCAGCAGATTTGAATAAAAAAGCAGGATTTCCTCCTAGATGTAGTGACCTTGAGATCATGATCATGTACTGTATCACTTTATTAGAGTTGAAGGCATAGTACATGTGGTGGTACAGTATAAATTTTCTCCCAGCAGTAGATTTCATATGGAAACGCCTTTTGCCACACAGAATAATTAAAATGTGGATGCAAGAATGATTACAAGAGCCAAAGTCAGAAAAAATCTCAATTTTTTTTAGCATTCCTGCAGGAAAATATTCACCAATAAAATATATAAAATACTGTTGGGGGGGGGGGGGCATTTTTCTGCATTTCTGCCATAGGATTAGCATTCAGTGATTTTAAGAACAATGGGTTTCTCTTTCCCAGATTTTTCCTCACTTTGGCTACTCAACCAAAGCTGCATTTTGGTGACCTTGGGTCAAACAAAAAAACACAAGCCTGCAAAAATATCCCAGTACAGCTGCAGGATGGAAATTGACCCATGCTGCCATCCAAGGGTTAAAATGAGAAAATAAACAAATGTAAAAATTATGATCAATATCCTGTTATATCCAAAATGCCTGAAGAAATTGAAACTGTGATGTCATTCTCATCTCATTTCTTCAAATAAATTATATGTGTTGAAATGTACAGTCAACCCTTGTTTCGCACACTCAATTTGCGCAGTAGACAAGTTTGATAGACAAAAAGGCCCTTAAACACAATAGGTTCTCACTTATCCTCCCAAAGAGGAATGAAGATTTTAATACCCAGATGCTTGGAATGGGTCAGGAAGAAATCAGATGATTTCTTCCTGGTACATGATTGGTCAATTCAGGAAAAATTTGAGGAAGTGATGGTCACTTCTTGTCCTTGAGTGAGGCTTAGTGAGTCTCGCAAAAACAGGATTTTTGCAAGGCTCACTGGCCTCAAAATACAATAAGTTTTTTGGCTGGTTGCGGCCAGATGCTGGAGCTGCGCTACTTCAGGAATCAGGGCACAACAACAAATTCTACAAATGCAATCAGATTACCCTGAATGTAATTTAAAATTTCAATCCATATTTTCAAGTCCCATTGGAAAGTGCAGCTATTTCCGTCCGCACGACGCATATACAGTGCAGTGTATGAAGAGTCATTTCTTTCATTGACGTTTCTGTCGAGAACTCGAGACCCACACACGTGGGAAGCCTCAATATATTTCCGAATTTCTGCGGGATTTCTTGCAGGAAAGTGGAAGAATACTCTAATGCTGGCTTGCCCAGTGCTTCCGGGGAAACATCTGTCGAAATGGGGGTGTGCGTGGGAACAGTTGCGGCGTCGCTGCTTTTCCGCGTGACGCCTTCCTCCGTGGGGTTTCAGGCGAGGGAGAATATAAGAACCCTGAGGTCAGGTTGAGGGAGGCCCAAAAGGAGAGGGGGGAGGGGGGGTTATTAGGGGTTCGGGAAGAGGGAAGCAAGTGGCGGAGAGGCAACATCAGAACTCTGCCTCTGGCTGCTCATATAACCAGGGCTGCCGGAAATTCCCGGAACCCGCGCAACCCTGACCCAGCAGCTGTCCTATAGACCCGCAAGTCAGGGCAAAACTTCTCAGGAAACTTCCTTTGTATGTAAGAATAGTGTACCTATATGCTGAGGAACATCTCAATATATTTACCCACCTTCCAGATATAAGGGGTTCCCAAATTTTGGAGCAAGTATATTTAGAATTTCGAAAATCACGGATGATTCTTACGGAAATATTTATAATGGGATAATCAATGCGAGAATCGATGAACCTCGAGTAACTTTTTGAAAAATTTCTTTCATGTGTTCAAGAGTTTGAGATTTACCTGCTGACAAAAAATGTCAAAAAATTTAAAGTGAATTTCCCATTGCATCTGCATGATCATAGTTCATTGATTAGACAATCAGAGGAAATAACGCGGTCATTCAACTTGAAATGAACGGATTTACAGGTCATTTTGTTTCCTGTCAACTGAAATTGAAGGAAGAAGGGAAAGTGAACTCGATTAAATTGGAATACAGTGAGACCCCCAGATGTGGATGTAATTGGTGCATAAAGAGTGCCCCCAAGTCAAAATGTCTCAAGTCAAGTCTTGTTTTCCCATAGACTTACATTATATAATTTTAATTTGTGTTTTATGGAGGATATATACTTCAGAATTCCCTTAAAAAATTGTTTTCCACTTGAATTTGAATTAAATAATACATTTTCAACTCAATAAGAACATTTGGAGCATGTATATTTCTGTACTGATGTACACTGAAATTTTGGTATCTACAACAATAACATTCAAGTGAAAACAAAGTAGAAGTCCCTCTATGCTGGAGGTAATTTTTTGAAATTAGCTAACTGGATGGTAATTTTGTGACAGAAATGCCCAAGAACTTTTGTTACATCAATTTTAGGGTTGGAAATACAGTATCTGTTTCTTGTAATTTGGCCTGAAATGTATTTGCAATTTTAACACAAAATCTCCCTATGTTGAGTCAGTTTCCTCACGTTGGGCCATATTTATTGATTTTTTCTGGGAAAATAAGTGTCCCTACGTCAAATTGTCCGCAGGTCGAGGTGTCCGCATGTGGGGGTCTCACTGTAAATGCACAAATAATTCAACCTGTAATGTTTGGAATTATATGTATATTTCTAAATCAAATATCACGGGGAAAATGGATATTGTTTGAAATTTAAGAAAAAAGTTGCCAACACAGACCGCGGCAGAGAGGCAGTCTCAAAAGAGCCTTGAAAAGAGGAACAAACAGATCAAAATTTGAAGAAGAAAAAATAGAAATAAAATCCAGCATTTTTGTTTGAAAAGTACGTTTGGAAAATAGTTGTGCACCTTTCAGACTTTCAAAATTTCAATTTTCATCATCCTGAGCTCACTCTAAAGCTTGCTGGATAATTTTGATTTTTTAGGAATCATATTGTTTCAAAATTTGAATCCATTCCAGAAAAATATCAAGCTCCTTGGCTGACATTAAATTTTCAAATAAATTTCATTTGACTTTGTCATTAAATTCTGACATAAAGGATCAAAATTAAAACTAGGATCCCGTTTTAAACTTATTTTTTGAATTTATTCATCCGTTTGGCGCTTCAAGTTTTCCTTCTTACACATTGTGTTTTCAGGGAATTCGTTGCCTCGAAAAGTGTCGTGGGCATCGCAATTCTTGAAATTGAAGGTCCCTGCGAACAATTCCGTTGAAACATAAATAATTTCACGTAGCGACAGAAGAAATTCGCCATCACGCCATACTGATGCCTTTAACATTAGTTTTTCGAATTTTTGCACAAGCATGCGAAATTGTATGCTTTCTACGTGACACTAATCGAAATTTTATTGATTCAAACAATTTAGGTGACCATGACTTTGCCCTTCAGAAAATGCTTTCGGGAATATTCTTCGGAATAAGCCTTTTATTTCGTTTACTTCATTCATATATGAAGAGCTACATTTCAACGCGGAAGTTTTTATCAGGTCATATAAACTAATGAATTGTTAATTTAATTTTTCGGTGCTAAAATCATAAAAAATACTTGCACGAAACTGACTATACTCACTAATGCCACTATATACAGCTTCAAAGTTTCTGCAAACATATACGCTTTTCCTCTTTCTAATTCACACAGAGGATCTTCCTTCTTCTTAATTCATTTTTTCTGATTTCGTAAGGCTGAAAAGTTATCCCAGCATAGGTACTTCTAATAATTATGCAGATTTTTTAATTCTGACAATTCTCTTCCGACTTGCTGTCTCGATAAACTATAAATTACACTCGATTTATGGCATTTTTTCCAAATTTATTTAAATGACGTATAGAACTTGTTCTTGTCAGCTTATACTTTATATCGAAATTATTATAAATCGAAAATATTATAAATCGAAATTATTATAAGTCGAAAATATTATAAATCGAAATTATTATAAATCTAAATTATTATAAATCGAAATTATTATAAATCGAAATTATTAGAAATCGAAATTATTAGAAATCGAAATAATAATTTGAAAGTATTAGAAATCGAAATAATAATTTGAAATTATTAATTGAAAGGACATTTTGCAAGTTTCCCTTTATGAACTATAGCTTTCTCAATTGTCCGAAGAAATTTTTTCTAGGTTGCTGATACTGCAGTATATCCAGTATTTCTAATACGTTTCACTGGCTGCGCAAAAACATTAAATCTTGTACATTTCATCAAGGTAAATATCCCTCATGGTAGAACTTCTATGGCATTCCATTTATTTGTTCAGAAGAAATACTGTACATCCCTTTTCCGTTCGAAAAATAGGGCGTAATACCGTTTACTGCATATGAAAAAGGTGAAGTAGGAAAGAAGATCACCGAACCGAGGAGCTCCTCACGCATTTCAGGAGTTGGTGAAGTTCAGCTTTTCTGGCACTATTTGCAAGCAGTAAATCCGCTGATGGATGTGCAACCAGGAGATTAGTGGAACTGGAAACTCATCCGAAGTCCTCGACAGAGACAGTGGTTCACTTTAACTCGATATCTTCTCGCAAATGTCCCTCTCTAAAGCTTCCTCAAGAGCATTTCTGGCCTGATCAAAAGGCCCAGCATGAAGCTCAAATGATTGTACATCACAGCTTTTAGTGGAGTATATACAGGGGATTTTATTCATTCATGCAAAAATTGGAGGTGGAAGTTGAAGATCGTTCCTCATTATTCGTGAATACACACCTTTTTGCGTTGATGATTGACGATGTCCACATCATGGGTCTACGCGTTTTTGAATATGAAACAAACGATGCCAGCATGGAAATGTTGTATCGTATTTCATTTCTGGAAATTTCTCGTTGACTGTAGAGTTGCTCATTTTCTCGGATCACCATCAACATGGGATACCTAAGCCATCTGGAAAGTGTGTGTTTAAAGATTCATTAAATCAAAGTGATCAACATGGTAAATTTGAATATTTTTTAATCCAAAGTTTTTCACCTACCCGCAAAATAGACCAAATTTGAACAAAACATTCCCTGGTGTTTCGAATTTATCTTTCGAAACTGCCAGCTATTGAAGTATAATTTTCGGCGGAACAACTCCGGAAAAAACATTTTTTTTCTCTGATTTGCATAATAATGCGAGCATTTATTGTGTCACAAATTTACCCAGTACTAGTTCAATAAATCTCCATGAATCTGGAAACTTGTAAAAATTATGTCTGCCATAATATACTAGATGACAGTCGATTCAGTAAAACATCCCTTTCAAGACGGTGTGATGCAGCAGAAAAACACAGGTGGCCCAAATTGACCACAATGCCAGGAATTGAAACTAAACATCAAAGCATTTGCATCTCAAAACAAACGTTTCATCTGTGCTCGCTGCATTTTGTTTGCTGAGAAAACCCTGCATGTTGGGAAATGGAAATATTCCTTCATTTTTATCTTATTCTGGGATTCCACAACTGAAATCCTCTGCTGGATCCCATAGCTGAATATACGTGTTTCATTTGCAATCAAAAATTTTCTTCACTGCCTCTTGTAAAAAATTGAATTCACGTCATCTATAATTTATCCAGATTGTAGGCAGACAAATAAATCTGTAAAAACGGGGGAGGGAATGTAGATTGTTAATTATAAATAGCCTAAATACCTTTGCAAAGGTTGTGGGAGATTTTTCAGCCTGCCATTCCCAGGGGAACCCGGATTTTGAGGGATGGAAAGCTTTGGAGCAGCCCGCGGATGGGTATGTAGGTGCCTGCTGTTTCCCCGCGCGGTCTAGCCCCTACTGTCATATTATGTCCCAACTCTTCCTAGGCAGGAATAGTCCCTCGCCGCGCGGAAGCCTTTGGATGTGGCTTCTTCAACTTTTCTTCTGCCTTCATGAGTGTATAGAATGCTCAATCAACTTTGCTTAAAGAAAATTTCTATCTGAGTCTATCTATTTACACCCTGTATATTCCATAATCAATTGAAAATCATACAGTGAGATCCGAACATGCAGACACTCTGATATAAGCAGACAATTTGACTTCGGGACTTTTGAAAATTCAAGAATCTGCCCTGACATTCACAGTTTCACACAATGTCTCACCAAATTGACACTTTTCCAAAATTTCTGAAAAAAACGGAAAATTTGTAAGTTTCCCAAGCTTTGGATATTGTCTTTTGAACAAATTGAGCCATTTTCTTCACAAACATTAAAATCACTTTCATCATAAATTTACGAATGTTTATGCTAAAAACAGGTTAATTTTCCGCTTATTTTTTGGAGCATTCTCAATCATGTGTGCACAATATAGATAGACTTTCAAAGTCTTTTTTCTATTTCCTGGTATCCTTTTGATGTGAATAGATGATCAGATTCTGACAAAATTTGATCAGACATGTGGATTTGCCAACATATGGACACATTACAAGCCCCAATCAT